TCATGTACTTTGATTCAAGAAACAAAATAAGCCTGACTCGTTGATACTGGAGTTTAAAAGCCTATATTGATATTAAGAACATTATACTGGCCAAAACATATTCAATCATAAATATAATGTAAATTTTCGCATACAATCCTTTAAATTAGCTTATTAAAGAACTGTGACCACAACATAAATTGAGCAGGACATTTTACAGCAATAAAGAAACAGTCAGTGCTCAAAATGTAATGTAAGTTAATATAAAAAAAATAATTTCATTTTATTACTGTAATTTGTTTATTTATTTATATTTATCCGCAGGCACATCAGCAAAAACAATCTACAGGTAATTAGCCAAAATTGGCTCACAATAGTCATGCACACCCATCAGGTCGGGTTGGACTCGACTGATGCAGGCCTCAGAATCACAGCTGCTCTAAATAACTGAATCCTCACTCTTACCTCTCACCAGTCGTAGCGTGGACGGGTGGTGGGCTGGCGGTGTCTTGGGGAGTCGAGCCGATGGCCTGGTGGGCTCGTTGAGGCGGGGGGGGCAGTGAGGGCCAGCTGCTGGCCTCCTCCCCGTCGATCTCGGCCGTAATCCAGCGCCCGGGCAGTCGGGGGAACGTATCTTACTGCCTCCCTCCTCCACTCGTCATCAAATGCTCCAGCATCAGCTAGCAGGAACACACGGCACAAATAACACATCTCGTTGTCACTGCAGCATGATCAGCGTCTAACAACAATAGTGTTAACAATCACTTTATGGCCCAATGACTCACTCTCATCGAGGTTAATGAAGTCTTGTCGTTCCTCACGGTCTCCAGTGCGGCGATTTCGTGAGCGCTCCATTACGTGTCCGCGCTCCCCGATGTGGTGGCCGATGGCAAGACGCTCGAGGCCGCTTTCACTGTCCCGCATCGACTGTCGCGTCTCACGGATCTGAGGTGAAAAAGTGGCGACTCGGTTTACTAAAACAGGCCGGATGCTCTGCACTTTGAATGAACGGAGACGGAAATGTTTGTGTGACAACTTTGATGTTTATAGTGTACATGATCTATTTATTGTCACTACAATTACCGGTGAATTCATGGATTATGAGGCCAGAAGGCCACAGTGATGCCTGGACTAAGCAAGCATGAAGGCAACATGTCCAGTCAGGCTTACCCTTGGAGGTTGAGGAGAGAAATCAGGTCTACTTATTTGTCACTAATCAGCACTCCCTGGGTGTATCATGAACCATTTCAACAGCTGTTAACAAGTTATTCTCACCCCTCCAGGGCCTGTTCTCGTTGCACTGGTCTGTTGATAAACTTCAGGAGGCCCGGTGTCTGAAGAGGAGTAGGAGATCATTGTTGAAGAGGAAAATGTCTGACAGTTCGGTGAGCCGGACATCCTATCCTACAAGAAGGAAATAATAAAGAGTAAATAGAAGGACTACTGTTCAGGCAAAGGTTTCCTTCATGAGGTAATTACATTCTGATTATTTGAAGTTGGTTGACAGAGCTACTTACCACGTTTCCCATCAAATCTCCCATCATGCCAAACATATCCATGAACCCTCCTCCTCCTCCTCCACCCTGCAAACATACATTTAAGCAGACATTTGATGAAACCTCACGTATAAACAGAGTGGTACATCTCTGAAAACAACAGCATTCATTGTCAGTTCAGTGCCACAAGGGTCATCCTTTGAGCCCCACAACTTCATTTTCAGAGGAAGAAGATGCATAAAACACTTTTTTTGAGTCCTGTAATCATATTATTTTGTCTTTTGTCCAGTGATCACTGGTTATCAGTTGATAAGGGAAAGAAAAGACAAGCACAGACTCGTCTTTTCTCACCGCATTGTGCATTGATAAAGTGGATCTATGTAAACGCAAGACCGGAACCTATTTTAAATCCTAACCCTGGTTCATGAAATCATAAACCAAAATATCTGAAGTCCACTTTTCAATACTTTTACAATACTGTGCTTTCCACCTGAAGCGCAGTAATATTTTGATCACACTGCCATAGTCGGCTACATGTGTAATCTGCTATTGAAGGAGGTCATAGAAGCAGCTACTCACCATTCCCATCATGCCAAAGGGGGCCAGCGGACCAGCCTAGAAAAGAAATGTACATCTTAAAATAAAAAAAACTTAAATACACTAGATTAACTAATGTGGATATCATACACGTGACATAAACAAAACGCATGAATACAGCCCCGTCAACATGGCGGAGAGTTACCTGTCTGCGTGGTGCACGGGGTGCTTGTATCTGGGGGGCGAGAGCAAAGGGATCCATGCCAAATGGTCCAAACATAAGCCTCATCTGCTGCCTGTGAGCTGCAAATGGATCCCTAGAAGAAATCACAGATTACACTGAAACAGGCTACATGGGGGGGTAAGCTTGTCCATTTTTAGATTAGGATGTGTGGGATCACTACGAAGCGTCCACAGGACTGTGTTTACAAAACTGTGGAGTACAGAAGGTTGGCATAAAAGGCAGATTTGTAATCTTGTTTATTTATTCTTTTATCAAATATTTACAGATTTCAATTATAATTTTACCATTCATACATTATATTATATTAGATTGTATTTTATTTTTTAAGATGTTGTAATATTTTGTTAATAATTGTTAATAATCTACAAAAAGATTCAAGTTCTAAACAGACAAAAGCTTAACAAATGACTTGCATGATAAATAGATCGTCAAAATTGTTGCAGGTTAATTTTCTATCAATTAACTAATCAATTAAGGTTCAACTTAATTTGACATGAATGTGTGTGAGCTGTTCTTTTTATTGTTTTAAAGAAAGTGGAAGGAGCTCATTAAAGAGCCGCAACAACTACTCAATTATCCAATTAGTTGATACATTTTTTTAAAGCAAAAACGCCAAATATTTGCTTGTTGGGTTTTTGACTATTGGTTGAACAAAAAAGACATCTGAAGATTGGGCAGTAAGAAATTAGAACAGGCATTGTTCACTATTTCCTGACATTTTATAGATAAGTGTATTTATTAAGAGAATAATAGGAAGATTAGGCAATAATATAAATGATGTATAGTTGCAGCCTTGACAAGCTTGTTCTGTTGTTTTGACAATATAAAGGAGGCTGTTGCTCACTGTGTGACACGTGGTGAATATGAAGAACTTCCAATATGATTGCATGATCTGAAACTAATAGGAAAGCTTGCCGGTGTTTGTGCAGCAAGTCTACAAACTGATCCACAGATCCAGATTTACTCAACCCCAAATCAGTTGTTAGTGAATGAATGAACACTTATTCAGCAAACAGAAGGATGGTTCCATGGATGTGTCAAACGTGGGAGGAAAGCTCTTCAGGTAGCGTGAAGTGAAAGACGTTCCGGTACCAAGACCATTCAATCATTGCCACCTGCCATCAATTAGCTGAATCCCAAACTCTGAGTTAATTGGGAAACAAAGGGAAGTTCTACGAGTAGTGACAATTGGCCATTTTAGCTACTGACTGGTTAACCAAATGCTTCAGAGGTCTGACAGCTTCTTCTTTTTGTTATTGTCTATCCAATATGGTGGACCACTGTAGGCCCCCACAGCTGGCTGGAGAAACGTTAGGTACCTGCTTTAAGCACACTGAAAAAAATGTCCCTCAGCGTGCCAACATGCACATTTCCCACCTCTTGCAAAACACGTGGTGGCAACAGTGTCTCCACAACATGTTAATAATGTCAATACTCACATCATGTAGGGGTCGTCATCAACGTCATTCAAGAACCGAAACATGCTAGGTGATTTAACTCAGCTGGCTGATGCTAGCCAGCTAGCTAGGTAAACAGTCGTGTTTTTCAGGGATAAAATAAGATGACGGGCTCAAACTCTAAATATGCTGAAAAGGAGGTCCTTCAATTAGCTCCGTCTCGAAAACACTAAATCACAACTCCTGTTAATCGAAGCAAGAGATGGCTCAGAGTCTCACTAGATAGTAAATTCCAGAAACCTGGACCAAACATGAAAACGGAAGTCAGTCCTCTGACAAAGAGAAGCAGCACTACTATGAAGTTAGCATCGGAGCTAACAACGGTGACTTCCGGCCACTTTATTTTTCAAAATAAAGTGTTTCCCTAGAGGCTTTCACAGCAATGTTTTTATAATAACGTCATGATTTAGAATGAGAAATACTGTCAATCAAAATATAAAAAAATATATTAAATTTAACAAATAAAGCACAACATAATAAACTTATATTGAGAGTTATCATTATTTATAGAAATTTAGTTTACTCATAAAACAGATGCCAAAACAGCAGTATTCTAGAATAGGCCGTTTTCACAGGAGGCATATTGACTTCATATTAGAGAAAACAATATGGCAATCGATGGTGGCATTCCATTCAAGTCTCCCAGTAAGTCACTGTCAGTGTGACAGTGATCCAGCATAAAGGACCCTGAAACTGAAGCAAATTAATACAATTATTCAACCGTCATTAATTGTATTATTTACTCATAAGCTTTTCCTCCTGTGATTTGCCAATACTTCTGTGAATAAAGGCCTATCAAGGCATTAAATCAGGCAACTGGCCACAGGCCCCAGACCCTTACAGGGTCCAAGGCTCCAGTTTCACTGTTTGAAATAGTTTGGTTGAAATCAAATTTGTTTGTATGAACTATTAAAGCATAACAGATGTGCAGCAAAACAATGAAAACAATCTAAACTAAATCAAAACGAAACATGCATCTATTATACAGCCACAACAGAAAACTATCTCTATACAGGTCACACGTGTGATATAGGTAGTGCGCCAGTGCATGAAGAACATGTGGCAATGAAAGGATATAATGTGCATGCTATAGATGGATGGATGGATAGATAGATAGATAGATAGATAGATAGATAGATAGATAGATAGAT